ATTTTCCGGTTCTTTAAAAGTATAATTACAGTTATTCCATGTGTATTTGTTTTTTGATGTTTCCAGAAACATTCAATGAAGTTAAGTTTGCAGTGAAACTTTGGAAAAAACTTTATGTCTATGCCTTTTTGAATTAAAGGGTACCGGAAAGCAAAATCTGGTTGTAAATATAGATACGTACAACACAATAATCTTCTCTTGTTGATGGATGAATGTTTTTTACAGTCGGTACATATATGGACGATTTTTCTGTCAGTTATACGTTTTGAACGCGACATTTTCTGCAGATCAATGGGGAAGAAAATTTTCTGAAAATTTTCTGGTGAATTCGAATTGAATCCGTGTAGCCATTGCTATCAAAATTTGAAGCAAGTTGTTAATAAAACCGAAATCATTTCAACATTAGTAAATTTTGACTTTATATTTATTCATATATTAATATGTAGAAATTTGTTTGTTGCAAGCAAAAGTAAATATGAATGTTCAAATAATTACTTGCGTATTATAAATATTTACACAGTAATAGTTTTGTCCACTTAAGTATGTCTTTTATAGTAAAATCATTTATTTTAAAAATAAGTATAATAAATAAACAGATGTTAAAATTTATCTTTTGCATTTATTCCCTACATAAATAATGATTAAATTAAAAGGTGTTTTATTTCTGGCTTTATTCATTTAATTATTTATCATGGTGGTTTTATTAATATATAGGTTAAGAGAAAAGAAAAATTTATATGCATAAATAAATAAGATGTTGCAAAATTTCATTTATTTATTTATTTAACAAATACTAATATCAAATATCAAGTATGCTTGATGGATCAAAATCTAAATCATCATCAATTATTTCCTGTTCATCAATAAATTGGTTTACACTACTATTAATCTCGGAATTAAATAAATTTATATCAATATTAATATAGTCTTCAATTAATAATCTTGTTTGGTTGTTAATTGCAGCATCTTCATTACTTTCAACATCATCAACTTCGATTTCTTCATTATTTTCATCATTTCCAATCTCAATTTCTTCATTATCTTCATTTTCTAATAATTTTTCAGCTTCACTAATCTTAGAATATATTTCTTCGTCTAAAATATTCATCCCAAAATACTCAAACCCTTTTTTTTCATTTGAAATATAATAATTATGGATGATTGCCATATGTTTAACTCTATTGATATCTAGATTATTTCTTCGTTGATTGTAGAACCATGATAAAATTGAAAAAACACGCTCGCACCCTGCAGAATGAGGTGTAATTGCATATAATTTTAATGCTACTTCTTGTAAATAACCACCTGATTTTGATAGTAAATTCCACCATGTATATGATGAAATTGCATTATCATATGGAAGGTCATAGGGTGGTTTTTTTTCACGATATAAATGTATTTGACTTACAAGCCTTGTTGAAGTTTGTTTTCCATGACCCATATCTGCCCACAATTCAATTGCAAACAACATCAATTCACGTATTTTATCATGATTTAAATATTTATCTAAAAGATTAAATATTATTAGCCAATTTTTATTTTATTTTTATTAATAAGAATAAAAGGAAAATAAATTTACCCCTATATTTTGGATGTAAAAAATATCCCAATATAAAAAGTTTAGAATTAAATTGTCCCCATCTCTTATTAAAAATGTCAATGCAATAATTTTTAAAATTTGGATCTACTGTAGCTGATAAATGTTTAATTTGTGATGCTAAACTTGCTATTTGAATAAAGCAGTCAGCAATTGTAGTATTTTTAGATTCCAAGTATTGGATAGCATCTTTTAATGGTTTAAGAACAAATGATAAAGATCTAACTTGATTAAAAAAACTAAACTCATTGATAGTATTTTTAACTGAAGAAGAAATATTATTATTTTCACTTGCTAACTAAATATGAATAATATATAATATATTAGAATAAGAAGAAAATATTGTATCATATGAATGATGTAAAATAACATAATTTACCTCCAGGAGAATATTACCAAGTCTTGCAACTGAATCTATACAATCCCAAATTGTGCTCCATCTTGTCTTTGTTGATGTCTTTAATCCACCCCCAACAACATTATATCTTTTAATTTTTTCTTCTAGTAAACTTGTTGATAATGGAGATTTGCCAAAATATGTAACAATTGACTGACATTTGGAAATCAAATCTTTTGCAAATGAATGTTTACACAAATCTTTAGTCATTAAATTCAGATGGTGAGCAATGCACTGAATACTAAAAATGTGCTTGTATTGATTATGGATGATTTTTCTAGCCTTTGTTACATCTGAACCACCATCGGTGACAATTGCCGAGAACTTCTCAGGACCAAATTTTGTCAAGATTAATCTAATTTCTTCAGCCAAAAGTTCACCAGTATGTCGCTCTTTTGAAAGATCTTTAATATCAACAATATATTCTTTTCTATCAGGTGTAATAACTACAAAATTGTAAATTCCTTGATTTCTTTTATTAGTCCAACCATCAAGTCCAAGCGTCAAATCTTTTGAGTTACGAAGTTCATTTTCTACAGCTACAACAATTGTTGCCAATTCAGAATTCAACATTTGTTTAGACAAAGTCTTTCTTGTAGGAGGGTCATAAGATGCATGTAATTGTTTTGTAAGCTCAATAAAAAATGGGCTCTCCACAATAGAAAATGGTACCCCACAACAGATAAAAAATCTAAGTAATGCAGCATCAATTTTCTTTTTTCTTTCTGGAATTAGCACAGAAGAATCACGATATTGTGTTAATTTACGTTGATTTGACTCTATTTTTCTTTTCTTATCACTTGAATCACAATCTTTGTTTGATATAACTCTTAAATAATGTTCTTTTAGTGAAGAAGGAACTTGAATACATGTAGTTACTAAATGAGACTCTAATTCATTTGGAGTACCTCTTGGATAATATTTATTACAAAATAAACATGTAGCTGTATGCTTTCCTTTACTTTTTCCTTCGCCTTTTGTAAAGTGATTCCATACAGAAGATCCAGGCCTTCCAATGGATTTATTATCACTAATATTTAGATTATTGTTGATGTTATTATACATACTACTGCTAATACTACTGCTACTATAGTTGCTATTAACATCACTATTATCTACATCATTGACAACAATACTATTATTATCAATCAAGTTCCTATTCATTATCAATTACGTTTTTTTATAATAATATTAACCCAGTTACTACTATTACTACAACAGGAGGGAACGTCCTATATAAGGAATGGATTTTCACAATTGATTTCAATTTTTTTTATACAGTTTAAAATACTTTTACAAGGG